AGGATTTTAATACCTATATATATATATATATATATTACACACTAACATTAGTATTTGGTTGGTTTACTTTACAAAAAGATTATGAGTAAAAGCCATATGGGATTTGTAGTTTGTTTTTTGCGTGTACTTTTTAAAACATATTTCACACACAAACTGTGGTTCTTTTCCGCATTCATAGCGTTTGTGGCGGTACAGACTAGTCCGAAATTTGTATACTTTAGAACATTTTGGACACTCGTAGTGAGGTTGTTGCAAAAACGGAAATCCTAAAAAAACAAAAAATTAAAAATGTACATTTATTAATTTTGAAGTGCTTTAAAACAAAATATACTGGTTATTAATTAACATACTTACAACAATAAATATTGGAGGATACATAATGTAAGGAAGGCAAAAGAAACAATTTTAAATTCTTATTACATGTTTTGTCTTTCGTGTGTATATAAATGATTTCTTAGGCTAGATTTATAATTAAATCGTCTTGAACAAATGTTACATGGAAACCTAGGCACAGTCTGACACTCGTATTCGACATGCCTTTTTAAGTTTTTCTTGTGTTTATAGCTTTTTCCGCAAGTTGAACAAGGGTAGTAATAAAATCCTAAAACATAAATATTAGTAGGTATATTTAGAATTAAATCTACATACTATATGGGCTAAAGTTATTCATATCCACACCAACACAATATCCATGTTATTTTCAGTACCAACCATTAAAGGCGAGTTTACGTTGAATAAAAATAACAAATAAGAGATAACAAATATCAAATAATAATTAAGAATTAAAGTTAAAGTATTGTTGTATATTGTAAACGTTCATACTCATTAAAATAGTGATAGCCCAGGGTTACCAAATTCTGTCAAAAAAAATCGGGACATTTTGTATTAATTTATCTTAATTACACAATTGACATAATAATACAATGCAAATTGTAAGTTTGACGTTACTTAATTATTGTTGATTGTGTCATTTTATTAATTAAGATTAATTCAAAGAAAGTGTCATATTTTTTTTGACTTAGGCTGTGTTCCGTAATTTACTGCCATTAGTAATTTTACTGTCAGTAGCGGAAAAGGACCGTTCCGTAATTTATTGAGTACTGACGCACAGTCAAATTGGAACGCGCCTCAGTAGCAGCAGAAAGTGACAATGGTTACGCAAGGTTATGATTTGTCAGGCTTTGTTATCTATGATGATTTGTGATTTACTGACAATTGACAAACTTTACTTTCGGCACAGCAGAACATAAATAAAAAATAAATATAACAGTTAACTTATAATTATAAGAAATATAATGTTTGGTTTATGGCAGAGATATATGGAAAATTTAATGTTATCGTCGTCCGCGTCGAAAAATGTATATAGGAATAGGAAATATAAAATTTTACTGACACCACAACAATAAGCCAAATACCAAAAATTACTCTTAAATTCGTCCGCTGAATACAAATATGTAACATTTTCTAGGTACTACCTATAGGAAGTACTATAGTAGGTAGTTTCATATTCAGGGTCTTCGTATGCGTACTCCCCGCCAACCTGCCTTCGTCACTGCTGCTTGTACTTTCAAGTAATATTTTATCAATAAATACTGAAATAATAAGTCCTATAGGTATTCACCAAATACCATTATTTGATATAATTTATATCCTTCACTTTATTTGACAGCTATTTTTTGTTTAAAAGTTTGGTTATGTGTTTTACTGGAGCCACAGCACCTCTCTGTCCCCAGTTGTTTCAGTAAAATTAATCTGCCGTACATTTATAAAAGAGTAGTATTTATCACTGAGCTCAGTAACTGAAAGTGGATTTCGGAATGCGTTTTCAGTACCGACAGTACTGACAGTAAATTACGGAACATAGCCTTAATCTGGTATCCCTGCCATAGCCCCACCCGAGCCCGCTATTTTGAATACAGTCGTAATATAGCTAGCTGGGACACTTTGGGATTTTTTAAATTTATGTATTATTCAAATTTTCAGCAATAAAAACTACAAAATAACCACAAAGCATTAGCGGGCCGGCCCGGTTTAAAAAATAGCGATTCGGCCCGGTATAGCCCAGTTAGTGCAGGGCTCTACTATTCTAAATACTAATAATTTTAAAAATTTTAAACGTCTGTCATTTGTAATTTGTAAAATTTTCCATCTGTCATTTTTGACATTTGTTATCTGTAATTTTTGACAGTTGCCCCCCTGAAATGCCTGAAAAAAATAATATTGGCATGAACAGTACAAAATTGTTAGCCAATTCAATTATCAAGATTCTTTTAACCCCCTTCTGGCTACGCTCATGGTTCCAATCGAATAAAATCTAATACCTACCAATATTTTATTCGGATTTCGAATAGTGTCACATATTTTAAAAAGGTTCGGGTAGTATATTGCAGGGAAAGTGGTAAAGGAAGTTGCTTTTACACTTAATGCATAAATAGCTATAGGTACCAACTTGCAAAAACAAAATTTACTATGCCATTTTATTACATTTGATCAGCCTGTTTTCCAACTGATTTTATAATTATTTTTTATTTTAATACAAAAGGCACTGTATATGTTCATAATATTTATAGTTCTTTTCTATGGTAACGCTTTCCGCTTTTGATATGCAGTGTAATTTAAAATCCTGAAATGAGTTATAAAAACGAATTATTATGTTCTGTGAAACAAATAAAGTACTACAAAGAAAAAAATATTAAAAATAAAGCAACAAAAAAATGCATTAAACTTAAACTATAATTGCAAAACTGTGCGGTAAAAGTTAACAAAAATTTATATGGCACTTCTACATGCCCAAAAAAATCATTGATTTTTCAATGGTCACGTTAAATTGAAGACATGGGCTGTATAGCAGATGTACTTAATTAACGGATATGTTATAACATTACAATAAAAAAATCGATTTTTTTCTCGAATGCACTTATGCCTGTAGAATTAGCGTATACATTTTTGTCAACATTCACAACACAGTTTATCGTAAGTAATATCATAAGGGCATTTAATTTTTCCGAAAAGAATCGAAAAAACACGTTGCTAAGTAATATTTTAACAAAAAGCATGAGTGCTGGTGGCAACAAAAATCCGAGTCGAAGAGGAGGATTTTTGCACCTGCACGAATGCATTTTGTTAAAAAATATTACTTAGCATTGTGTTTTTTCGATTTTTTTCACAGGAAAAATTTGATCCCGAATGGTATTTGACAAGACTATTTCATGAGTAACAGTTAACAATTAAAATAAAAATTGCAATTTTTGGTGAAAACAGCTGTCAAGTTTAGCCGCGGGTAAACTAGAATAAACTGCTGACAGGTGCTGTCACACAGTTTTTTCACCTAGAAACCATTTGTAATTCAAAATTTCGCGTTTGTGATTGGTGGAAATTAAGACGAGGGAAATAGTCGTAATTAATATAATAAGGGCATTTAATTTTTCCGAAAAGAATCGAAAAAACACGTTGCTAAGTAATATTTTAACTAAAAGCATGAGTGCTGGTGGCAACAAAAATCCGAGTCGAAGAGGAGGATTTTTGCACCTGCACGAATGCATTTTGTTAAAAAATAATACTTAGCATTGTGTTTTTTCGATTTTTTTCAAGGGAAAAATTAGATGCCCGAATGGTATTTGACAAGACTATTTCATGAGTAACAGTTAACAATTAAAATATAAATTGCAATTTTTGGTGACAACAGCTGTCAAGTTTTGCAGCGGGTAAACGCGAATAAACTGCTGACAGGTGCTGTCACAGTTTTTTCACCTAGAAACCATTTGTAATTCAAAATTGCGCGTTTGTGATTGGTGAAAATTAAGACGAGGGAAATAGTCAATAATAAACGATAACATCCCGTGTATCTTAGCAACTTTAGTAACTTTTAACTCTGAAACCAGATGGTTATTCTTTCTAAAACTTTGTAATTGTCTTTTAAGTAGACTCTACTACAACCTAGAATGTTTTTAACATTTCCCCATAGCGAAAAAAAAATGACTGGGTTAAAGTTGAAATATTTATTCATTTATTTATTTTTCCTACTTTATTTTATGAATTATACCCTTACAATACAAACGTTTATTTAAAATGCATTTTAATAAAGTGTTCTATCAGCGAAGATTTTCTTGTATATATACTTCCACATTGATCACACTTGAACTGGGAATTCATTCCACAATCATACTTTAAATGCGTATTTAAATGCGGCATTTCTTTAAAACTTTTACTGCATTTTGGACACTTAAAATCTAAAATAGCAGAATAATTAATTAAAAAATATATAATATAAAAAATAAATTAAAATTATGATGAAGCTGGGAAATATAAAGCTAATATACAGCAAATAAATAATTAAAACACATATGTTTATTACAAATGATTTTTAACAAATTTGCAATGTATTGTATGTCGCTGTAGAGACTGCTTTCTCGTAAATTTTAATGTACAACCTGGACAGGAAAACATTGGCATTTTACCACACTCATATTTTCTATGGTTACAAAGTGATGACGTATGCTTGTAGGATTTTCCGCAATCTATGCAAACGTATTTTTTTAAATTACCTAAAAGTAAAATATCGGTTAATAGTAAAATAGGGTTTTATACAAAAAGGTTTATTTAATAAAATATTCTAAATTCTATCATAGATATCTATGATTCTATACTGTATAATACCATTTAACAAATTTAAGGAAAAAATAATATTAATATAATAAATTTAACACTATGCATGTATGTGGATTTAAATGTATTCTTAAATACTATTAGAATTACTACCAGTTTAAAATGGTTTTATTTGATTTTGCAACTAAGCATTGAAGAAAACAAAAGAAGAACTATAGAAAAATTTGTTTTATTGTCGTAAATTAGCTGCGAAGCAATAAAACATTATTAGTATTATTAAACAGTAACCTATTATAGAATATGTTTTAATTTCAAAATATATGTCAAAAATATATTTTTTTTATAAGTAAAATTAATTATTAATAAATGCATACAAAAATATTAGTATATAATACGTTTCTTATCCTCACAGGGGTCGGCAGCTACATAACCGTATTTTGTGTCTAAGCCCCATATGCCTGCTGAGATTGGCTTTAGATGGCGTTTTAAAGAAGCAATTATTGCCAAAATCACATCGATAATATCCATCCTGAACAAAATTTCTGTCAACTCTTTCCAAAGCAATATTTCCACACATTGTACATAAACTAAAATCATCTAAAAATAAGTTTATTAATTTTTTGTAATATTTCAATAGTAGGTAAAGTCATACATTGTAACAATCTTATAATTATTGTAAGTGAAATAGGTATTTTAAAGGTGTGCATATGACGCGCTCCGAGAAAATGAACATAAGATCCAAAAATTAAACTTTACAGAAGAGGTGATTAAAATTTGCGCAGCCTGGGTGACTGAAATAAACAAATTATTATTGAACTTAAACCAATCATAATCTCGAAAATAATTTTTTGAACTCAAGGATCGTTTTCTCGGTGCGCGTCACATATTGGAAAATTCTACAATAAGAGACTATATGTTGGTAAAAATAATTTTATACCCATATCAAAATGTATTCAAATACAACTTAAGTTCCATTAAATCCTTAAATAAAATTGTAGATTTTATTGATATAAACCTGCATGGTATACCGAGAAACAGGTACCATTTCTACACAACGCAGGTCTTTTAATGCAGGTTATGCAACAGTAAGTTGTTTCTTTACGAATTTTTTTCTTGTGACACACTACACAACGTCGCTGTGATGCTTTTTTTGATTTTGTCGAAGGATTTTTTCCCAGCACATGTAGGTTTCTGCATTTTGCACATCCATCTAAAAAAAGGTGTTTTAGTTTATAATTACAACAAATTAAAAAGCAAAAATGACCAAAAATCTTATGTTTAAATAATTCTGATCTTACCATTTTAACTAAGGGTGCGTTTCACGAAGAAATGTATGTCAGATATGCATATCGATTTTGTCAATGCAACTCCACCTTTTTCCAGACACATTTTCTTATAGAAATGTATACTTTATATCTTTAACAATATTTTGTGTTCAACTTACGAACCAAACAGCACCATCCATAAATGTGCAGTAAATATCAAAGAAGTTTCAAATCGTTGTTAAAAAAAATGTGGATATATCCCATTATATGGGAATTGCATTGACATCCCTAGATTTTGGTTTGGTCTAGGTTGACATCATCGACATATGACTTGAAAAATGTCCTAGTTAATTTTATTTATTATTATTATTATTTATTATAAACGTTAAATCTGTCAAAATTAAATTGTCCTGAATGTTATTTAAAACAAATATTCCGAGTAATGTTTTGTCGGTTAATTAGGGATTAATAATGGTTTAAGAGTACCACAAATAAAATCAAAATGTGTTATACTTATACGGCAACCTTTAAGTGTATTTTCAACGTCATAATTCCTTAAATCAATTTATAAATTATTATTAAAATCATTAGAAAACCGCTGTAAAGTACAAACTAGAGCCGCAAATTTTAAATTTAAAACATAATTTGAAGAACTTAATAGTACTTTTACTTAAAAAAGAAAAACATCAACTTTCTGCTAAACTTGATAGTCTGCATAAATAAAAACAATAATTATGTATATAAAATATTTTAATAAAAAATAACAAAAAAATATTTACTTTATCCTAAATTTTATTTAAGATATAATATTGTGTTTATTTTTTAAATGTTTTAATAGATTACAGTTTAAATGGCACTTTTTTCCGCACACATTACATATATATTGGGGTTCTTTTTGACATTCAAACTTCATGTGTCTTAATAGAGACCCTCTATTCTTATATGACTTATTACATTTTTCACAAGTAAACCTTTCCATCCAGGCTAAAATAAATCATATACATATAAACTTTACAGAATGAAAACTATAATTTATATGACTTACAATTATGCGCTTTGGACATGTAAGGTTAAAATTTTAACAATTTGATACATAAAAAAAAATTTATTTAAATAAAGTAAATACAATAAATTAAACCATTGACAATTTAAAAGTACGTTTATAAGTGTTCAAAAACAATATGCCGGTTAAGATGAGCTTTATAGTTTGATTTTTGATGGAATTTTTTAGGGCAATATTGGCACTCAAACTGTGGTTCTTTCCCGCATTCATATCTTAGGTGACTGTTTAGGTGAATTTTTCTTTTATAAACTCTTTTACATTGTGTACATACAAATTTTTGACCAGAACCTAAAAAATAATATTGGTTAAAATCAATATTTAAAAAATTTAGAATAAAGCATTTATTCATACATACTCTCTAAAAGTGAAACAATGAAATTTTCACTATTTCCGTCAGTGAGTTATTATTCACTGTAAAATTAGTGTTTTTCAATATAAATTAGTGAAATTTTAACTTCTCCAAATTAGTGTTTTTTATTATCACTACTTTTCCGGAACTCTCGACATAAAATAGTGAAATTTTAACTTTTTTGAACTAAACCTATTTCACTAATTTGTACAGTGTAATTTCCACTAAATAAATTAGTGCAAAGAAATCGCTACATGAAAAAGTGAGTATTCACTAATTGCTAGTGATATACTTATCACTGCGGCAAATACTTAATATGCACTGTCAATCAGTGAAAATCCACTGTTTCATTTTTAGAGAGTATAATTTTTCAATGTAATATAAAATATAATACAAGTAACTATATTTTTAAGTACAATCATAAATTTTTGCTTTTATTTTTACATTAATCCATTAATTTCATTTAAATTAATCTGTTAAGATAAGTTTTAAGTACAAATAAAAAGTACTTGAGTATGGGGCGCCATGTGTTCCATAATTATTTCGTATACGATATATAAAATATTTTGCAGGAAAAACTATATATAAGTAAAATTTACTACAATTTTGCATATATATTAAAAATAAAAGTTTTATATATATTGAATTTGGCACCATGCGAAGTTCGATATAAAACTTTTTTCGTTTAAAAAGTCCCCGAGCGATGGCGCTACCTTTCTTTATGATTTGTATAGTGTGTTGCATATACTTTATGAACGTATTCGAATTTAAAAAAACATCTTTCTCTAAAAGAATAATTACTTAAAATACCTACCTTTTATTAATAATATCGATGAACAGTATAATTACAGCTGTATAAATTACAAACCAACCGCCGTTATCTAAAAAAAACGTGAGCAAATTTATAATATTTTTAATATATATGCAAAATTGTAGTAAATTTTACTTATATATAGTTTTTCCTGCAAAATATTTTATATATCGTACGAAATAATTATGGAACACATGGCGCCCCATACTTGAGTGCTAAGTACAAAATTTAAAAAATTTACAAAATAAATTAAATTAATTTGTAAGTATGTTATTTTATATATTTATTATCTAAATAATAACACTTCTAGTTTTACCTAGTTAATTCATAATTAGATAATTAGAAATACGATACCACCCTAAATTTCTCGGAACCTGAAATTTTTTTGAAAAAACGCCGAGACACGTAAAGTTTTATATAGAGGGGGACAAGTTTTCATGTCAAATTTTGGTTTCTCACCCCTACCCCTTGCGCCCAGGATCTACATCCTTAAGAATTTGAATAGGGAAGGGGTACCGACCAATACATCATTTTAAATGTCCTTAAAATCCCTATACATTAATGTTTTATTTTTTAAAATCGGTCCGTTTATTTTTGAGATATTTTAGAAAAACCATGCGTAAGCTTTTAAAACTTTCCACCTTAAATTTTTTGAAAACTGGAAGAATTTGGAAAAAAACGCGGACACACGTAAAGTTTTATATCGAGGGGGACAACTTTTGGCGCTACTGCTACTGCTACTGCTCCTTGAGTTCTGCAACCCCTAACTCAAAAATCCTAAATTTCAAAAGGTATCATGTGGCACATCAATTTAAAGCTCGTTTAATTTGCAATACAACTGTGTAGGTAGTTTTGTAATTTATCGGTTGGTTCTTAAGAAAAAAAAAAACAATATTTATTGTTTGGAAATTGGTTTTTACTATATCTAAACTATATCTAAACTATATCTAAACTATATCTAAACTATATCTAAATGAATATATATATATATTATATACCTATAGGTATACAAATTAATTTATCAATTACAATTGATAATAAAAAATAATAATATTTTTAGGTCAAATGTTCAAAATGTCCCCCGTTCTCTTGAAAGCAATAATAAAGCCTAGATTCAAATACCTCCCTCACATTACGGAACATCGCTGGAGTTATTTGACGGCACTCTGTTATAATCCGTTGACGTAGTTCATCCAAAGAAGCAGGTTGTGTCACGAAAACTTTCGACTTAAGGTATCCCCACAAAAAAAAATCGATTGGATTTAAGTCAGGTGATCGGGCAGGCCACTCTACAGGACCTCTTCTTCCAATCCAACGTTCAGGATATCGCATATCTAGAAGCCGACGAACTGGAGCTGCGTAATGATGAGGAGCGCCGTCTTGTTGGAAATGTAAGTCCTGTTTAGCAAGCAAGGGATCATCTTCCAAAGTTTGGGGTTATCAAGGCATCAATTTCATTTTCCATCATGTTTAGATTCATTTCGATGTTCAAATTACCTTGAATAAACAGAGGTCCAATTAAATGGTCCCCCAAGATTCCTGCCCAAACATTCAACTTCTGCGGATGTTGAGTATGAACTTCCCGGTATAAAAGAGGATTTGTATTACTCCAAAACCTGCAGTTATGCCGATGGACCTTGCCATTAAGTGAGAAAGTTGACTCGTCCGAAAATCAAATGTTGTACAACAAATTCTGATTTTGAATAAGACGGTCACTCATGATTTCGCAGAATTCCTGTCTTTTATCGAAATCGTCATTTAATTCATGTACCAGCCGAATTTTGTAGGGATGAAATTCTAAACACGTTAGTGCTGCTCACGCCGGAAGTTGCAGATATTTGCCGTATTGACTGCGTATTTGGCATAAGCTGGATATGTCCCAAATACCGCCACAGCAGCTCCTTCGTCATGCACAAGTACTCTGGAAGCCTTTTTTTTATTTAAAACTGAACCCGTTTCAACAAATTTTGAGATTAATTCCCCGATGTATTTGTGGCCAACATTGCGATCGGGGTGATTTTCGTTGAACACCCTTTCAGCTCTTCGAGCACATTTTTGTTTTTCGTAATAGCAGCCTACCAACTCAACACGTTCTTGTAATGTTTACACCATATTTAAACAATTAAGCAAGGTAAGAATAGTAAATTAACTTATTTACAATGCATCGAACGTTCAAACATGAGCGTTTTTAGATAAAAACTTTATTTATCAACAATAAGCAAAAAACGATTGACGACAAGTAAGTTATTTTAAATGGTTTAGTTCTTCAAACAAAAACGGTTAGATTTAGAAAAAACCACTGCCTATCAATTACATTCTAATAAATTTTTTACTTTCTTTTATTTTTAGATTTTCATCGATGAGATTTGTTTAGTTCCGAAATTTATTAAACATAGACATAGAGATTCAACTCACCAAAGCCGTTTTGACCAAATTTTGCAGGATTGATACGGTAATACCAATAAAAATTGTTTTTTTCTTTACAACCTATCGGTAAATTACAAAACTACACAGTTGTATTGCAAATTAAAAGAGCTTTAAAATGATGTGCCACATGATACCTTTTGAAATTTAGGATTTTTGAGTTAGGGGTTGCAGAACTCAAGGAGGTTAAAGTAGCAGTAGCGCCAAAAAATGTGCCCCTCGATATAAAACTTTATGTGTGTCAGTATGGCACGCCGTTTTACTTTTTAATGACATCAAAAAATTAACTCAAAACAAAAATTATCAAAATTAAAAATTGCCTAGAAAATATAAACGTTCATAAAAATTAATAAATTAAGTTAAATTATAAATTAAAATCTACTAATTTA